CCCCCCCCCCCGGGGGGGGCTGGCCCTTGTTACACACAGCACTTTTCATAACATCACAAAATCACGTGCAATCGTAACACCTTCTTTGTCACACAAAGCCGATGCTAATCTATAAGATCGTCGCGATGAAGTGCTTACTATTGAGCGTCGGGGTGCCTCGCTTCATCGCGACGGCGGCGTCACTCGGGGAAAGGTTTGAAGAAGGAGAGGAATTCGGCCATCTGTGATTCAAGACGATACACGTCACCAGTTAGTAGTTAGCTAAGTTACATGGAAGCTTTAAATGTGGCTGAATATCCGCCAAGCTTTTGTTGCAGAGCAATTATCCCACAATGGCCCAAGGCCCAAGGCCACAAATATGATCTTCAGAACAGGTCACATATGGTGGAGCTAACGTGAGCTAAGAGAGCCGTAGTCATCTTAGACAAAATCTACAGAAAGTAAATTTAAATTTTGCTCAGTCCGACACATATAATGCTTGAGTCTTAAAGCAGAATTAATTTTGCGACGCCCATTTGAGGTTTACTCCTTCTTGGCCCTCTTCGCGGAACCACTTCAAAATTATACTTACGCCCTGTCCACACTAATGCCTTTTCAAATGTGTGCGGTTTCGATCGATTCGCGTCCACACTAGAGTTGTTTTGATGTATTTTCGAGTGTCCACACTAAACCGTTGGAAAACGATAGAATTGCACGTTGTGACGTAAGTTGAACTCTTTGCGCATCCTCCAAACACACGCAGCTGGGATATTTTCGGTCATCATTTCTTTTTGATGTGTTTTCAACTGTCCACAATAATACGATATGTATGCGTTTTCGTTTTGATCCACTTTCAAGAGCGTTTTTAAATCGATCCGTGTTCGATGAAAACGGTCAGCGTCAGTTAGTGTGAACAGAAGGCCTAAACGCCTTGAAATATATGCGTCCTTCAAACGAAAACACATTCTATAAGTGTGGACATGACGATTTTAGTAGATACAAGAATGTTGAATTTCAAACAATAAAAAGTTTGCCCTTCGATAAAAAAACTGCGTTTATACAAGATATAATTTGTTGGCTCGATTTGCAAAAAACTGCATCCGCGTTAAACTGATTAGCCGATCTGCCTGATAAGTAGACCGATTTTCATTTTGCATGTATATTAGAGGCTGTTTTATTTCTGGGCACAAATGTCTCAGGGTTCATTTATCCAAAAAGAATTGTTATAGGTGCTGCAAGTGTTCCAAACGCCCTTATTGAATTTTCTGCATTCGCCCCTGTCTTGGCGTTCCAATCGCGTTTCCTTTTGGATAGAAGTACCAGCGCAGCCGGCAATGAACCGCAGGGTGTAAATTGACTGTTTAAATCACACCGACAAGTATCGTCCCATGTGATAACCGTACCTTTTATTTACGAAATAACTATGTGATAACAGATACTATTATTATAAGCTTTATTTTGGTTTGTTTGTTTGTTTTCTAATTCTTAAAGAACGCGAAACTTAAAGATTTCCTGAGGTACAAGATTCGTTCAGTGCGCCGTTTAATATGCGCATACAGACAAATATAGCCCCAGTTTCATCATTTTTTTTTTCTATGAGACTTTGAATCCCCCGATCTGAAGTAAGAGCCCGAGCTTTGCCACCCAAAAAGTTTTATTGTTTACGTAGAAATGGTTTCACCTGGATACTTGTGGCTATGCAAGTTTTCCTCCTCCAACGAGCCTGGCTGTAGATATGGGTGCCACCGTTGGAAAGTTGCATGATGACACAATCCTTGATATAGCTATTGTACACACTCAAATAGCGCGATATTATAGAAATACACCGAAAAATACAACTGCAGTACTATGAAAGGTACAAACTTCCCCTCCCCGCCCGTGCAAGGGTCCACAATGATCTTCTCATGAGAAATGTTTTGTAAGAATAATCAAGAATATCGTGTTATAGGATGAATATTATTGACAGGGACAGTGAAGTTGAATATATTTTTCAAACCTATTAATAAAAATATGTTTGACAGAGATCAAAAACGCTTATCTCTAAGAAATGGCGCTAGTATTTTTTAAGTTCAAAGGAACGCAGGAGTACCTGCCCCCCCCCCCCCCCCCCCCCCCCCCCCCCCCCCCACCCCCACACAGGGTTTTCACCCCACGTCACCGCACCCCATTTGGTGTGCCCAACAAAAAAGACGGCGGCCACATGTGAGGTCCCCAACCATCACAAGTGAGGCAAAATCCTCTTTTCTTCTCCAACTTTTTTTTTTTT